CGTTGATGTATAAAACGTTCTTCAGTTGTTTCGCCTGGCCCCAGTCACCGAAGGTAACCATAAGGCCACCACTCAGCCGGCAGGCGGACGAGTAAAAAAAACTTCTTCAGGACGAGGAGGTTCTGTTTCTCGGGAGGGGTTGAAGGTGGAGAAGCTAACCTCACGGTCTTCATCTTCTCCCACGCAACTTTCACGGTAAAGGTCTTGTGTCGGTGTTGTATAGTTCACAATTTCCCACCTAAATTATAATGTCATCTGACTGAGAAGCTAACGTGTATGAACTACAAATTGGGGAAAAGTCTACGGATATTACGCTTCACATTTCACTAACAAGCTGATGAAAATAGCTGGAAGAGAACTAGTAAGTGTAAATTACGACCAAAATTCAGATAAAACGAACAAACATAATATCCCATTTATTTTTACCACCTGCAGGTAAAAATTTGGGAGTTTCATTTAGTGCGTACGTGTTTACTCCGACCCGACTACCCTGCACAACTATCACCCGTCCAATAGATGTATTTCTCCTTTAATGTATAACACCTTGGGAACGAAGACTTAACCCCTTAAGTTGAATTATTCAACTCCTTAAACATGATGACTTACCCCCTAAGTATGATGACAACCCCTAGAATACGATGACAAACCCTTGAATAAGATGCTACTACTATGGGTGACCATTTAACTTATCTCCATAACAATAGAATCCATATACTCGTATTTTATTATTTTACTTTTAAATTTAACTATTTATCAGGAAATTATAATGTCTTCGTGCAACGTGGTAAGAAGCCCTCGTTACCTCCCTCCTAAACACGAAAGTGAGGTTGAAGCAGAGGGAAGAAACCCACATTTGATTTATTCTTTTATTCGTGTTGATGATATATTCTGGGCGGGGCTTAGGTGGTGAGGGAGGTTATTAGGTTAGAAACTTTGTGGCGGTAAAATATATATGAAGGAACGGTGGGATATAATAGTAACTGAAGGGAAATATATTAATTCTGGGTAAAAATAAGTGAATAAATAGATAAGGAATTGAAGAAAGAGAAAGAGACAAGACGCAACAGGGAATAATTCAAAAATAAGTAAGAATCTACATATACTGTATACTACGTGAAAGCAAAAGAAGGAGATTTTCAGAGCTTAGTGTCAGTCGCATAATGGTAGCACGAGGCAGCTACTGATGGTGTACAGTGAATGAGGGGGAGCTGCTACACGTCTTACCTTGGATGGAACTTCGGAGGAGCTGTTAGCAGTCCATTCAAAGTGGCACCTACTATATCCCCAGGGCACCGAGGCCACCCAAGAACCTCACTGTGTGTGTGTGTGTGTGTGTGTGTGTGTGTGTGTGTGTGTGTGTGTGTGTGTGTGTGTGTGTTTTATGCTTTTACATCTGAATGTACCCGACTTTGAGTATTGAATACAAATTTAATTCATAGCACAACAAGATCCTTACAAGTATAGAAACAATTTTTCAATTTTATTGTCATAAAGCTTTTCATATTTTCCCCAATGAACATCTTGTGATATCAGAAGCTTTCTCCCTGAACAAATTATAATTGTGCAAAAATTTTTATATCCTCAATTTGTATGAGAGAGAGAGAGAGAGAGAGAGAGAGAGACTCAGTGTTTACATACTTGGAATTATCGGGGATGCAGGATATAAACAATGGCTGAATGATCTAATGAGGCATCCAATCGTGCAATTAACATAACCCCTGTGTACGCTCTCTCTCTCTCTCTCTCTCTCTCTCTCTCTCTCGTTTACATCGACGCACATCCGATAACATTCCCCGTCAATCACAAGGAATATTCAATCATCCATATTATCAAAAGTTCTCCACACGCTGCGTAACGAGTCACCCAACCTTCACCGGTATATTCACAACTGTATAAGAACATAAAACCCGATGTAATAAGGTATGTTAAGAGGACGACAACATACCTCTCCTCACTGTGGATAATGCAGAAGACCCGACAGCCGCACCCTTAACCACTACCTCCTAAGATGTCCCCACACACAACGCTTCCGTGACGCCTGCTGGACCACCACTCCACGACCCCCTGACGGAGACACGATGATCCTCCCCATACTGGCCAGATATTATGTAAATAATATTGATAATGTGTTAAAGGAATATCTTTCCTTCCTTTGGCTTTAGTAAGCCCCTTTATAATATTTATACTGTATATACTTGTCACACTTGCCAGGTGCTTCTGGTGTTATTGTACAGGGGTACCTAGTGACAGCACTAGGATCCCGCTTCCTCTATCAAGGAATAAACTATTGAAATTGAAAATTGAACATACCTCTCAAGTTCTCATAATGTCGACGGTTTATTGGCAAGAGCTTCAAAGATAATAACTAGCCCAAGTAGTCTTGTACGCTGTGTTTTGGCCAAATTTATTTTATTTTTTCTTCCTTCCTACTCCTTCTTGTCTTTTACCTCTTCCTCTTCTTTCTGCTCCTCCTCCTCCTCCTAGTTCTCTTCTTTCTTCTCCTAGTCCTCCTCCTTTAGCCTACCAGTTACTTAACTCCCTACCGTGACATTAAAAAAAATTATATTTCTGGTATTTCAGCTTTACCATTAGAAAAATAGATGAAGCCAGACAGACAGACAGACTGAAAATCAAAACACACACACACACACACACACACACACACACACACACACACACAGACAGACACACGGGCATAAAAACAGACAGCGTGGGAAGAGGTAGCACTTCTGGACCCTTCGACCGCCCCCACATACAACAATAATCATGATGCCTTTCAGCGTGACGGAAGAGAACACTGGAGCTACACTACCACACAGACACACACACAGACAGTCAGACATACAGAGATAGATAGACACTCGGTGCCTTCCCCCAGTCCCTGCTCGATTGGTGTCTTGGTGACAAGTTAATAAAGGCCGGCCACTGTGTATTTGAGGCCACACACCTGTTATCTAACTAAATAAAAATGACGCGTCCGTAATGTAGGTGTTGAGAGAGAGAGAGAGAGAGAGAGTTTGAGTTTGTGTGTGTGTGTGTGTGTGTGTTTGTTAAGAACTTCGTGGAGAGATGGAGATATATATTTTAGTATACAGTTATTGGGAGCTGTTTATATCTCTCTTTTATCACTTTAACGAACTGTCTCTCTCTCTCTCTGTAAGTGCTTCAACTACCATTCTCCTCTTCTCTTTTTCTCGACTTTTTTTTTACTCTTTATTCCTCTGTGACTGTCTTTCTATCAAGGTATATTTTATAAAATCTTTCTCTCTCTCTCTCTATCACACACACACACACACACACACACACACACACACACACACACACACCATCGTCATTCGTTTAAAATTCCAACACATGAGAAAAATAGCGTTGAAATTCCTCTAAAAAAAGATTTATTCTCGGTAAATCATATATTATAAAATTAATTTAAAAATGGCTGCATTTTATATATTCATTTCAAGCCTTTTCTGACCGTATGAGAATTATATATTACTGTATTATCAAGGTGCTTCAACAGCTAAGATATATTATATACACCATGACGCCATCTGATAATTTCTATACACGATTTTGTAGAATAAAAAAAAATAAATAACGATGCTGGATTCAAGTTTTATTTCACACACACACACACACACACACACACACACAGTCTCTGATGTTTGTTTTTCTTTTGTTTCTTCAGCTTCTCGCTTCACCTTCCTTTTATGTTTTTTTGGGTACAATCTTCTTTCACTTCGCTTTACTTTCTCTTCGTCTCTCTTTTTTTTTTCCTGTCGTTTCTCCCCACGCTGCCGCTATCGGTTCCTTCCCGACACTGTGTAATTCACGTAGGAGAACCAGGGTGGGGTTGTTTTTACGTGTGTGTGTGTGTGTGACTGCCATAGCGATAGTGACGCAACGGACTGGTCTCTGTTTCCCTCTCTTTCACCTCTCACTTTCCTCTCCCACCACTGTAGCACAAACACTCACTCTCTCACAAACCTTCGTACGCTATCACAACCACCTATTATAGAACAAACTATATACACCCAATCCCATATCTGCCACAGCCACTTATTACGCCATACTAACTCCTCCTCTCCCCCACCCATCATAAAACAACACTGCTAAAACTCTTTCGGAACCGTGAGGCCTTATGTTCGATGCCCTGCCTAAGGCCCCGGCGTTGATCCATTACCAAAGAGGCGAGAGCCAGGTTGATGTAGCGGCTGCCTGTAACGTCTCAGTGAATACAGTTTTCATGTTCAGTGCGCCATAAACTCTTACCTGTGAAGGAGCGGGGTCTAATTTCCTCTTCATGTGGATGAGTCAATTACGAAAACACATACGATTTTTTTTCCGGGTTCTGAAACGGGGTGAAATATTTTTATATAACTAGTTCTAATTGTGGTTTTTTTTTTCCTGTTTATCTACTTTGATGTATTTTTGTTCTGTCTATCCATCTACTTAAGTATATATTTACTTATATAATATTGTGTGTTTTTTAGGTGTTGTTAATGAGGAGATTTGAAAATGTGAACTTGGTGTTATAAGACAACATCACAACCTTTCCTCTTTGTGCTTTAAGTTACGACTTTAGTTTAATGTATTAGATTGCTTCCCCTAGAACTGTGAGCAATTTTCCACTAGATGTATCAACTCTTATTGCTCCGGAAATTACACATTTCCCGCCGAAATGTCGACTGATATTGTGTAGGAATTGAAGACATTTTCCGCCAAATATATCGCTCAAAATAACACGGGGATTAACTACAATTGTTTGAGTTATTTCTTCAGCGGTTATTTCTGTATGAGTTACACTAATGAAATTAAAAGTAAGCTAAAGTATACTGTATTTGTTGCTATTTTCTTTTCTAAGATGCCTTTGATAATTTTCTACAGTTTTGGAGCTGATTATTTCAGTGGTGTACTTATTATACAATATGTTTAGGTTCGCGGTCTCTGGATTACTTCCCCCCGCCTCCCCTCCTCACCTGCCTTCTCTTTCTCCCCAACAGACAAACAATGGTGTTCCGCAGCTGTTCGTGGTCTTGCCTTCTGGTGGTCGGCGTGGTGGTGGTGATGGGCGTGTGTGTGGGCGTGGGTGAGACCATGCCCCCGCCCATCTGCCTCAGCCAGCAGGTGCCCCTAAGCCCCTTCGCTAAGAAACTGTGCTCCGCCCTCATCAACATCTCCGAGTTCTCCCGAGCAATGGAGGAGTATCTAGGTGCTCAAGGTGAGAGTCTGGCACTATTACCCTGCACAGAGAGAAACAGACTGGCCACTTGAAGATTAGACACCCCAGCTTAGTTCACCTGAAGATTAGACACCCCAGCTTATTTCACCTGAAGATTAGACACCCCAGCTTATTTCACATGTATATACATCTAAGCTTATTTCACTTAAAGATTAAACACCCCAGCTTATTTCACCTAAGAGATAAGACACCCAAGCTTACTTCAACTGAAGATTAACCACCCTAATGCTAACGTAACCTAACCTAACCCTTCCAGATAGCGTTAGGGTGATCAATCTTCATGTAAGACAAGCTGAGGTTTGTAATCTTCAGGTAATAACAGTTGAGAGTCTACACAAGAAACTATATCCAACTGGTTGACTTTAAATAAGACTATATATGGACTCCAAAATCAGTATTCTGAGTTGTTCTGAGATTCTACTTTAACTAAATACGTTCATTAATCGCAAGTTAAGATATAATATTAAATACAGTTTTTTCTAAGTTATTTATATGTTAATTTTCGTGGTGTTAATTAAGTTAGCGTAAGGTAGAAACTCAATATACACAACATTGATGGTAGTTTTGGGGGTGATGCTGTTTTAGCTGTACCTTCTTACTTCTTTACTGACTAACGAGGAATATTTAACATAAACTGCAACTGAACCAGGAATGAACTTGGACTGGACCTGGACTGGACCTAAACTGGACTTTAACCTAGACCTAAACCTAGACCTGGACTGGACCTAAACTGGACTTTAACCTAGACCTAAACCTAGACCTGGACTGGACCTAAAGTGGACCTATGCATGGACCTGAACGCTGATCTGAAGAAGCGTGTGACTCTCTCAAAAGACAATTGAGTATCGACAATATAAACATAACCAAAGTTGCTGTTAATGATCGAGAAATGTTACAATACAGATTTATATGATGTAGACATTATGCAATAGTCTTGTATTACGGGTTTTAGTTTAGAAAATTAATTAAAACCTTCTTGCTGGCCACGTTGTTAGTAATATTTTTTAAGATATTTTGTCAAAGCCCCGATGCTTGTTAATCCAGATTGTTGAAGCATGTATTTTAAAACAGTAACAATAATATGCATACTAATTAATCCCTATTTTTTGTTTTAAATTCGTTTTACGGAGAAAATAAAACCCATTGATCTCTTCTGATAACCACCGCTACTTTAAACACCTAAAAATAAAAAATAAAATACCATAGGTAATATTTACTCTGATATATAATAAAAAAATAACTTTACTCATTATATTACTAAATTCATAAGTTCAATTTCATTCTTTAAGCAAATAAAAGACGATATAAGCTATGGCTCAGTTCTCTAATCTCACGTTGGTTGTCAATTCTGTGTACCAGCTTACACGAGCCCGTCAACATGTCCTGATATCTCTTGGTGAGGAAAAAATACAACTGTGTAGCTTTATGAAAACAATAAACATGACCTTTAACGCTTGACGTCAGCCATCCCGTGTGCAGCGTCCCGGAAACTTCATTGTAGCCCATAAACCATAGTTCCCTTAATGACGACAGAGCCAAGGGGGTGTATTATGAGCCAAGGGAGTGGATTAAGAGCCAAGGGAGTGAAGGTCAGTGTAGGCCAGTTTACGTCAGTGTTGGTCTGGGTTGTTAAGTCATGTCAAGATAATAGGTCAGTCTAGAGTCACTCTCTGATGGTAGTAGAGGCAGCCAGGCGAAGTCAGTCACTCACAGCCACTCCCTGGTGGTAGTGAGTTACTGTTTATGGGAGTCTGACTGTCTCCCTGTTACTGTCTGTCTGTCTCTGGATGTCTCCGTGTTCTGTTTTATCTCTCTCTCTCTCTCTCTCTCTCTCTCTCTCTCTCTCTCTCTCTCTCTCTTCACACACACACACACGCGAGGACAGAGTGCCATATAAGGTCCCCAGTGCCAAATGTGCCACAACACAAACTTGTTTGCTTCACGTACCACCACGACCACCGAGGGGCCGTGAATCACCTCCTCCAACACCTACCTCCGTCGTTATCCGTTTATTTAGGGTAATGAATGACCTTATTGTCGAAGGTATCAGACCGTGCAGATGTTTTTCCTGTAGTGTCTGTTAAGTGAATATGAGGGTAGTGTTACATAGTCTCAGTCAATTATCATCATATTAAGCTTTCTCCCTTTCCTCCCTCTCTGTCTTTCCCTTTCCTCCTTTGTCTTCCCTATACTTTCCCTTTAACCCCGCCTCTCTCCCTACCTCCCCTCTCTTTAGTCTCCTCATTCCCTCCCATCAGCCCCCCCCACTCACCCTCCCTCCATCAACACAATTTACCCTGTGAAGTAAATTGGCTCATTGCATATAATAGTGTGTATTTACGATCCAGCCAGATGAAGGCGAGCGCCGGACTGAGTCTAGATGAGGCCGGATATAGACTAGATGAGGCCGGATAGTCTACATGAGGCCTAATCTAATCTAACATTTTAATCTAATCTAACATTTTAATCTAATTTAATCTAATCTAACGTAACCTAATCTAGACTAACCTAATCTAATCGGATGTTATGAACCTATCCTAACCTAACCTAACCTAACCTAGTCTAACCCAGCTTAACCTAATATAACCTAACCTAATTTAACCAAATATGAACTAACTTAACCTAATCTAACAAAACCTAAAACCCCAGCTAACGTAAAGGTGTTTAATGATTAACGTGAGAATAAGATGGGGTGTCTAATCTTCAGGTGGTCCAAGAGAATTTAATAGCCGTTAAAAATTCAACTATCCGTTAAAAAAAATGAATATCCGTTAAAGATATGAGACTTCGGTTGGAAATTTTGAAGATCCGTTAGAAAATGTTAATATTCACTTAGTAAATAACACCAGTATAAACGATAGACTAATTTAGGTTTTTTACTTTGAAAAAAAAAATAAATAAAAAGTATTAACATATAGTTTACTCAATGACTGAAAGAGAGAGAGAGAGAGAGAGAGAGAGAGAGAGAGAGAGAGAGAGAGAGAGAGAGAGAGAGAGAGAGAGAGTGTGGGTTTGTGTGCTTTATATATAAGTAAATATGTTTCACCTGCAATTTTAGGCTAAATCACTTGTAAATACGATGTCACATGACCTCTTGGCTGTTGCAACACTAGATATATAAAATCCAGTCACTCATGCAATAGCAACTGGCCACTTGACGCAATGTTTTCATCACCTGCACCTTCACTTAAGTGTACATAATGCCAATGTTTATTTTCTGGGGGGGAGGGGAGGTCAAGTGGTGAGACTCATTAGCATTCAAGCTTATTTATGGGGAGAATGAGCCCTTATTGAACAGTTCACTGACACGAGAGAGAGAGAGAGAGAGAGAGAGAGAGAGAGAGAGAGATGATGATGATGATGACATAATGTATCAATGCGCTTCACTTACACACACACACACACACACACACACACACACACACACCTACAGTAGAGGCCATTAACCTGCGTAGACCATAGGTGAGGGGATGGGGGGAGGTGAATAACACTCACCCTTTACTGTTGAAAATGAACGGCATTTTCAATAGCTACAAATTCAAATCAGAACAAAATTCTATCATACGATCTTTTTTATTTATATATTTTTTTTTTCGATTTATTTATTTATTTGTCATCGTTTATAAATATGGTCATGTAATCGTCTCTGTCTTTCCGTCTCCGCCTGTCTCCGTCTGTGTGTTTGTCTTTCCGTCACTTTGTATTTCCGTCTAAATGTCATTATTTCCGTCTATGTAGGCCTAGGTCTATAGTTTATTCTGTTGTCCTTATTTCCGCCCATTTATCCGTATTTCTGTCTGTTTACGTCCTTATTTACATCTATGTGTGTGTGTGTCACCGTCTAAGAACAAAACGCCTATTATATAAGAATCAGTCCTTCAGAGTAATTACTTCCAGTCTTTCCTCTCCTTTACAATACACTAATGGCTTAAGGAAACAAAGAAGACAATATTACTGAGTTTTGTCATTATTGAAATACGGAAGCACTAAGGATCACCTGTAGTTTAGACACCTTAGTTTATTATTTTACTTGATGCTTAACCACCCTAAAGGTAATCTAATGTTCACCTATCCTAACTTAACCTAACCGAATCTAACGCTGACCTAACCTAACGCTAATCTAACCTTTGACCTATCCTAATTTAACCTTACCGAATCTAACGCTAACCTAACCTAACGTTACATTGCTAACCTAACTTAACCTAACCTAATACTATCCTAACGTTAACCTAACCTAACTGAACTTAACCTCAGCTACCCTACCCTAACTCCTCGGTGGCATTAAAGTGGTTAATCTTCAGGTAAAATAAGCTTGGCATCCTAATCATCAGGTAAAATAAGCTGGGGTGTCTAATCATCAGGTAAAATAAGCTGGGGTGTCTAATCATCAGGTAAAATAAGCTGGGGTGTCTAATCATCTGCTAAAATAAGCTGGGGTGTCTAATCATCAGGTAAAATAAGCTGGGGTGTCTAATCATCTGCTAAAATAAGCTGGGGTGTCTAATCATCTGCTAAAATAAGCTGGGGTGTCTAATCATCAGGTAAAATAAGCTGGGGTGTCAAATCATCAGGTAAAATAAGCTGGGGTGTCTAATCATCAGGTAAAATAAGCTGGGGTGTCTAATCATCAGGTAAAATAAGCTGGGGTGTCTAATCATCTGCTAAAATAAGCTGGGGTGTCTAATCATCTGCTAAAATAAGCTGGGGTGTCTAATCATCAGGTAAAATAAGCTGGGGTGTCAAATCATCAGGTAAAATAAGCTGGGGTGTCTAATCATCAGATAAAATAAGCTGGGGTGTCTAATCTTCAGGTGATACGAGTTCAGACTCTTTATATCTCAACACAGGTATAATACACTATCCTTCACCCCATGTTTCAGCATTTCCTGTAAACCCATCTCTCTTATATTCCTCAGTAAATCTCTATTGATCATTCTCTTCACTGCACATAACACTCAGGACCTCCTCTCTCTTACACGATTAATCTTCACCTCTGTGTTATTAACTACGGACTATAATTTACACTTCAGCTCCCTCTCATTTACTTTTCATTTCCATTAATCAATATATTTTTTTTTCTCTCCCTTACTCCCCCTCTTGTAACTCCCTTTCTCTTAAATAATTGTCTCTCCTTCTTTCCCTCCTTCCCTGTACAATAATTGGATTACTGCTTTAGTTCTTTATTCGTAGCTCTAAATAATCTCTGGATGCTCAATATAAAGAAGGATCTATCCCCTCCCCTCAGCAGTACTTTAATACATATACAGTGAGCGTTTCTTTGGCTATTGTTGAGGCATGAAACGTTGGTCCGCAGTGGGGAGTAATGGCCTATGTAATGTACCTGGAACTTAAACAAATGGCTGTCCATCTGGTGAATTAGATATGGCCTAGGATTATGGTGGACTCGTACTGAGGAGGGGGGCAATGTTGTGTAGAGCCTCGTGTCATGATAATTTATTGAGGAAACGTTTTATCAAATTAACAGTTTGTGGAAACGACTTTTATAATACATATACATACATACATACATATTATGGAAACGTGTTAGACTTTTCGGGAGGGGGGGGGAGAACTTTTTTTTTTTTAATTTAATACGGAGGCTGGCTACCAGATCCACGGGGTGACTTTTCTTAATATTATGATGTTTCCAAAATTTTACGGTAAGAATAAAAGGATATCTACGTCCCTCTGGAATGATAAACAGAATTACACTCGTGACTTTTGGTGTAATCTAGGGTACAACGTCCGCCTCGTGCACAACAATATAAATGTAACTTTGAAGGTAACATTAGGCTTTCGTTATGAACAAAAATCTAATTCCTGTAACGTACGCAATGCTAACTCAATTCCTAATCTATGTTGGTGTAATCTGTCGTGGAGTTCACCTGTTTCACTAATTTTCTTTCTCTCTTTACTGTGGGTGTTTTAATTGACCAGGTTAGCCACACCATTCTTCTTTAAGAGTTGCATTAGGTTCTTCATCTGCCTGGCCTATTGGTCTCAAGTCTGTGTACTAGAGTAGACAGTTATTGGAATTAGTTGGCAGCATATTGTTATTGTATTGCTGTGCTTCTTCCCGCCAGGTCTCTCTAGGTGCGTGCTTTAGGTTAATAAATACACTGAGTCATTAACAATTGAATATTAAGATATACGTTAATGTTATTATGCATTACTGCACTTCAACAACTAAGGTAATTAACCGCGTATTCTAGGTTAATAAATACACCAGTCATTAGAAACTGAAGGAAATTATAACGGATACATTGCAGCCTATCTTTGTTTATTGGTCCAATGGTTGTCTCTGTTAGACCTTCATGAAGTCTTCCCCCTCTGACATCACCACCAGCGCCCCCAGTGTTACACGAGATCGATTATGGTCCTAATTAAATTTTCCATCACCTTAACCACTAATATGTTGGCGCAAAATTACACTTGGCACTCTGCCTTGATTAAAGATGCTGAATATGATGAAATGAGAGACTTCACTAATTATATTTCACAAAATTGCTATTAGTCGGGAAAAGTGAAGGAGCATGAGTGAGTGAGGAGGACTTGAGTAGATGAAAGGATGGAGTTTTGTTTTTCTTGGAAGTGTTGACCATGTCAGCGATATACTGTAAGGAGAAGATTAAAGAGCACTCACTAATACTAAGAAAAGCTCGATATATGAAATACAGGAAGCGATCCTTCCACTCACCCACTAGAACCCGCAAACAGAAATAACAGAAGAAGAGAATGGTAAATGGTGAATAAAAAGAGGATTCTTTTATTTTCGTTGAATTTCCATTTTCTTTCTTTAGGTGTCTATTGACATTGGCTTTGAGGTAGTGGAAGTAATAATGTGAAGACTCTGTAGTTTCAGAAAGAGCCTTCTGTGAAAGCTGTCAACTGCGTTGGAATAGTTGGAGACCTTTTGTATTCTACTCTCGTCAATTTACACTGCATCCCTATGAAAGAGAACAGAGTAAGATTTGACACAACACTCGCCCCCAGACTGAAATACACAAGCAAAAATCCTTTACCTTACAGAAGAGTCGTCTTACACAATAAAGCCAATAACTGTCTTCCTCTTCTGAGTACCTGACCCGACTTGACCTGACTTCCCTTTCTTCTCTCCCTACAGCTATCGAGCGCAGTATGCCCGTGAACGAGCCCGAGGTCAAGCGACAAGACTTGGACCATGTCTTCCTCCGCTTCGGACGATCCCAGCAATAAGTCAGCAGGGATCATGGAAGGAAGAAAATGTGGCATAATTTTCGCCGAGAATGAAAAAGAAAAAACATGTTACTTTGCCAATCGTTTTTAGCCTTCGGTGACGCGCTTCTATACGGCTTATGTTATCATATGTGTTTCTAGTGGTTTAAGATGCCCATTTCTTTTATAGACCAAAAATGGCTGGCATTGTTGCATAAGAGTTACCTTCTTTGTGTTCAGTTTTATTAAATATGGTACGAAATAATTAATATATTTTCTGTTGTTAAATAAAAATCTATATACAGTACATTATATACATAAATTATGTTTTTTATCTAATGTAGAAATATATGCGCGAATCTTATCTTAAAATATCCCAAATAAAACTGAATCTCCCCTAATCCTCACTATGTAACAAGAGAGTGTAATGTGCCACGCTCCATCGTGTTGATGTTGGGATTCCCAGTCCCAGAAGAGCCCGGTGAGGCTCATATGATTCACCTGTTAGAGAACAATAAACATGACCTGGCCTCTTCCTGTGGTCTTACTGCTGGCCACGCCTTCCTTTAACCATTAAATGAACCGAATGGTATGTTGATCAATCTCGCCTGTCCCCTATGTGTCAGACATTACTCAGATACCTTGGTTCTTACATTGCGTTACCTCGGCGTCTTAGGCTGTGGTAAGGAGAAATATAGGTCTTCTCTGAGCAGGTGGATCTTTCTCTTTGGGGATAAGAGACGGCATGAAGCTGTGCCGGGTACCCAGCTTTGCCACAGGCACTTCTCACGTCCTTCACCTGTCACAGAATCGTCCACCTGAGATGGAGAATACTTTTTTTTTTCGGAGACTCGACGAGCTTTCCTTCGTCAGGCATATGTCAACACCTCCTGGCTGATGTGTCGACACTGAAGTGACGACTATGGCTTCGACAGTCCTAAGAGCAATTCTGTAACTTATACGCTTATATTTTATAAATGTTGTCTGGTATGAGACGGTTTGTGTACATATGCCCGTCGTCACAAAGGATCCATAGCTGTGACGGTAGTTTGCCTGTGTGCGGGCAGCCACTTATTATGTGCTTCAGGTTATGTTAGGTAATATTGTCAACAACTATTGTACTCAGTGCCAAAAAGGAAAATTAGTTTCATTAACACATATACAAAGAAAAATACTGTTTTTATATCCTTTAGAAATTCGGTCATGCCTGGTTTCTATTCATTCCAACAAAACTCACATTGAACTTCCTACGTTTCCAAATAATATTAAGGCTGTTAATGGCTGGTTAGGTGACTCACTATTAGTATATACAGATAATACATCTTTAATATACATTGACTCCATCCAAGACTAGAGAGTTGATTGGCCGTGACTGATGCATTAAGGGGAATGTCACTGCCTTAATCTTTTATGTAACTCCTCTCTGGTGTTAATTACTAAACCCCATTCACTTGGATCGAGTGGTGAAGGAAGCACTAATAGAGATGATCATTAAGAAAAATCGAATAAACTGCCATTAAAGATAATGACTCATAACAGTGACGTAACGTTGTAATTGACGTACTTAAAACTTCTTAAAGGTTGAGAATGTAAGACAAAGGTGAAGTGCAGTTGATTATAACTTAAGAAAATAGTTAAGGTATATATAACATCACTACCTATAATATGAATCTCCTTTAGTGAGACAAATGTATGACAATAATGGTAATGAAGATGATAAAGATTATGATCATAATAATAATGATGGTGTTGATAATGAGGATGATGATGATAATAATGATGATGATGATGATGATGAGAATAATGATGATGATGATGATGATGATGATGATAAAAATAGGAATGATAATAATGATGATGCTGATCAATCTAATGATGATCACGATGATGAGGACGATACTGAAGCAATCAATTAGCATTATCACAAAAAAATCACATCATGTTCAATAAAGATGTTGAAGAATACATCAACCTTTTTATTTATTTTTTACGGGGAATAGCCCACCCGGGTACAGGTCATCGAAAAAATAAGAGTAAAAAGAAATTAAAAACTAAAGAGAAATATACTATAATAATCTACACCACGAAGATGCCGGAAAACCAGTTTTTTGAAGTGAGACAGATTGTAAGAGTATGGAAACACAGAAGAAGGCAGAGCATTCCACAGTTTGGCTGTGTGAGGAAAGGACCAGAAGGATTTACTGGAGGAAGAGTTAGTCAGGTCAGCGATCTTTCTTTATATATATATATATATATATATATATATATATATATATATATATATATATATATATATATATATATATATATATATATATATATATATATATATATATATATATATATATATATATATCGTTTCAGCATTATGGTAATGTTTATTTTTTGTAGCAGTTATCATTATGAGACTTATATAAATATATAAAGTGGTCAAATAGCTGATAACTATAAAGATGAATATGATAGTAAATATGAAGAAACATGTAAAGATTAAATATATTTACACACTGGCTAACATAATATAATGGAATGATATGTGTTATACAAGACATAATGGTGATTAACTAATATGTCAGTGAATATGATGTAGGGGATATAACAATATATTTTCATTGAACATTATGATGTATATGAACTCTAATTTTTTTCTTATATATAGAAAATATGATATTGTTAAGGTTGGAAAAAATACTATTACCGATTATTCGAGAATCAAAATACACCAACAATGTAATTAGCATAAAAAAATTATAATTATTTACACTGAAAGATAGAACAAAAAACAGTAGTTTTAGGTACTATGTAGATGACTGCACATATGCTGGATAAATCATAGTAGTGTGAGCTTCAATAGACCTGATGAAATTAATGGTAGTTACTGAAGGTAATGTAAACAGAACTGGTGATGGTAAGCAAAGGGTATAAGAGCTACCAATAAAGATAAAGGTGTTGACTATATTCTCTATATGTTACCATGTATGACCCATAATACAGGTGATGATAGTGGGTGTAAAGGAGTCGATTTTGTTTTAAGATTTGTGGGAATGTGACCTATGCGAACCTTAAGCTAGAGGTCTGCCCGAGGAGAGATTCACATTCGTCCAAAATTAGGGATATTCTGTACACTGAGAGAAAAAACATCCCTAAAGTGCATAAAGTTTCCATCAGTCATTTACGGAAGGCGAAGTTTGAGTTGACAAAACGCAGAAGAAAAAAATATATACAAGAATGATAATACATCCATGAATACAATGCACCGTATACAATTTACAGGAGTCTTTGGATATTTTAAATAGCTTAATTTTATCTCAATATTATTTTAACTAACAATATGAAATTACATCTTCAAGGCTCAATATATTACAATTATTTCAATATATAAATTATAAACGGTTCATGGTCAGAACAATACTGTGAGGAACCGGTATACAAGAACACCCACATATTATATTGAAAGATAATTATATATGAAAATGATTGGCCAACCAAGTCACATGACACGATACTTGAAGATCATTGGAAACATGAGGACACCCAATGGACGAATATTAACCTACTTGTTTAAAAACGAAATAACGGTAATTAACCCAGGACATAATATGTGATTAATTAAACCCAACTTATCATAAGACAGATCTATGTAGCGTTGAAATTATGTCATACTTCAAGTCCTCAGTCTTTCATTTTTCAATAGTATGATTTAACATCGAGTAATTTATCTGTACTGCATGATGAATGATGACCGGTGTAGGAACTGACTATTTTTTTTTTTGGGGGGGGGGGTGTTAAGACGTATTTCCTGAAGCACAAAAATACAATTAACAACACCGATGCAACTCACAAACTCTTGACTGGCCACTCTAATTCTCCTCCATTACTCGGACAGCCAACATTTACTTTCAACCACTTCACCTATTTTTTCTTTATTTCTTATTGGTTTTCTTCCTCTCAACTTCTTCCATTCCCCCAAACTTTCTTGCAAGTTTGTCTTTCTTAATCCATCTAACTTCCAGCTCAGAATGACTATCTGTTTTTATTTTCGATAGTTGTTGAGCGTTAGAGTTTAAGAAGTAATGCGCGAAGCCTAATCTTTGCAGTGGTTGTATAGTAAACACAAAACTATACAGCTATGACAACTATAACTGCAAACCTAGAATACTTGCTGAAAGATCATAATTGTTGAATCGCACCAATACATTATAACATTACAATATCAAAGTCCCAAGGAATTCAGAGTTTCTCCTGTACAGATGTTCATTCCGCTGTGTAAATATCTGCTTCAACGTGATACCCTTAATACTCTTTTATGTGGAGGCAATCAAGCTTACAGAGACAGTCAAGTGTAGAGGCAGTCAAGCATTCAGAGGCAATCAAGCATACAGAGGCAATCAAGCTTACAGAGACAGTCAAACGCATGAAGGCAATCAATAAATAATCACCGTATCTAATGGCAACCTTAAAATACATTGGTCAGTGAAAAATAATCTATTGCATCACTCCTCTTTTTTTAGTGATCACTGATTATTATTATTCTACTCCTTGTAATACATGATGGAGTAACGGAAGATCTATTTGCCTGTTCCTACTCCCTTTCTTCGTTATCCTCCTCCTCTTTCCCCATTTTTCTTCCTCTTCCTCCATCTCGTCTTCTATCCCCTCTCCTCGTCTTTTTCCTCCCTCCCCTTCCTACCCCACGCCACGATTAGCACTCATGTCACCGCGCTTGTCGTAACACCATGGTAAATTTGTCGGCCGTCTCACTTCAATATTCGGGAAATCAGTAGAATTTTGTGTTTTGTATAAATTTTGTAGATGTATTGATGATAGCAACGGACGATAACTTTCATTTATACCTACATCTGTATACATAGTTACGTTCATATGCATTGTTTTTATTTATTTATTTTTTATGAGTTAATTTATTGCCTTCCATCGTTGGAAAAATACACCTAATTGAGTTTTCCATAACTCTGAATTCATTCCGGTGTTGGTGATTGATTTTCTCTCCTCTCTTCTTGACCTTCTTCTCTTACTATTTCTTTCTTCTCTCCTTCTCCTTCCCCTCTTCTAGCTTTTCCTCTCACTATTTCTCTCTCTCTCCCCTCCTCTTTCTCTTCCTCGTTTTCTTCATTGGTCAAAGTTATTTCCTCTCCTTTCTTCTCCACTTTCTCTCCTCACTACTTCTCTCTCTACCCCTCCCCCTCCTTCCCCTCTTCTTTTTCACTGGCCATGCCAATATTCTCCTCTTGTCTCCAACTTCCTATTTCACTATCCCCCCCTCCTCCCCCACCCTCCTTCTCTACTTCCCTTCACCAGCATCACCAAACAAGTTTTTCAATAGACCCTGAGTAAACACACAGCCTATATTGAAAACACACAAGTCTGTCCACACTGTACAAAATTGTAATCAAAGCGTCGATGAATAGTTTATTGTGGTGGATGGATGTTAGTTGTTCCCTCATGCAAGTACGGTATTACAACACAGTTTCATGCCAACAGGTACTATAGAGGTGATTGATAAAGGCACTCAATTA